ACTTTATGCAATCTAAAAATCTTTAATTTTACTATATATTACTAAGTAAAATTTATAAAATCCGGTAATTTATTGTAATTTAGTGTATATTTAGATTTACATCTTATAATTTTAAATGTTTTTACTTTAGCTAATTCATCTAATATTAATAAATACAGTTAATATATTATATATTATTATACCTATTTTATTAACTATATAAATCTTAAAAGTTTGTAGAAAATATTGCTGATAGGATTAAAAAATTATATTCAGAATTTATTAATATAGAACTTTATAAATTATATTTTAGTTTTTAATTTTTAGATCAGTAAAAGAAAATAAAATTAAAAGTCTGTAATTTTTTTTAGTTATAAAAAATATTGTAAGTTAAATAATTATTTAGTTTAATTTAAGTTAGATGCTTCTGAAATTTGATCTTAAATCTTTTTTTCTAAGAAGTTAAAAAAAGAGGAGTTTCAACTTATTGAAAATAAAACCATTTTAAGTAAGAGAGTCAGTTTAATTATTGCAAAATATAGATAGTTTAAAATTGGCAATATTAGTAAGAGATTTGTTAACTTTTAAGCTTAGTTATTAGAAGTATATATTATTTGTAAAATTTAATATGAGAAAGGTCAATTATATGGATTTTTTAAAATAATAAGCATTTTATATTTAAATGCTACTGGTAAAAATAATATAAATCAGATTATAAGAGATTAGTATTTAAAAAAATATCAGATATAATCAAGTTAAAAGAAAGATCTAAACAAAAAATTGTTAATAGAATAACTAATACTATAGTAAAATCATATCCTCTTATAGAATTGTCTGAAAAAATTATTAATATTAAAAAGTTAAAAGATACTTTTGAAGTATATTCTAATTTTTTAAGTATTGAAAAAATAACAATTCTTATTTGCTCATTTTTGACAATAGTTATAAATCAGTTTTTCTTATTTTTTGATTCTTTTTAACCAATTATATTTAATAATATTTGGTGTTGAAAAAATCTTATAGTCAAGCTAAAATTTTAGAGGATTAATTTATAATATAGAATAAAAAATTATAAAAATATTATAACAATAAGATTTAATAATATAAAATTACTAGTTTTTTTGATTTATTTGTTAATTTTATTCTGGTAATTTTAGATATTTATACAGATTTTTTGAAACAATAAATTTTATGAATATATTAATATAATATTTATTTATAAAGTATGATAAAAAGATTTCAATGATATAATTATGATAAAATTCTTCTTACTTTTTTATTTAATATATATTATTGAAAATCTATTAATTATCCTATTATTAAAACTTTGAAAAATAATTTTATTAAAAATTTTATAATCTTTTATAAAAACATATTAAGCAAAAAATTTTTCAAGTAATTTTCTTAGATATAATGCTCTTTTTATTGATAATTTTTAAAATAAAAATTTATTTACTAAATTATTTATATCAAGATAGGATAATTTGTATAAAAAAAATTTAAATGAAATGATTAAATAAACTTTTTTTTTTATTGAAATTTTTTGATGATTTTTGAAAAAATAATAGTAAAGTAAAAAAAAATAAAATAATCCTATTATTATTTTACAATTATTTCTACAATTTTATTGGTACTTTACTATTTAGATACTATTCATTCATATCTTTAAATATAAAAAATTTTGTGATAAAAAATTCTAAAAATTCATCAACAAATAAGAATGATAAAGTTTTAATATACAGTTATATATATATAAAGATTTTTTTTTGATATTAAAATTATAATGTAAACATTATCTTAAATATTTAGATAAATCTATTAATGAATTGACAAAATCAAATAATTAAAGATTGCACTTAGAAGAAGCTTAATTAGAATTGTTATCAATAAAAAAATAGATAAATAATAAAAAAATCAAAAAGATTGATAGTTATAAATCAAAAATTAAGATTAATTCTAATTGCAAAAAAGATTTTAGGTATATAATAAAAATTTTTGGCAAAACTTTTATTAATAATCAATATTTTTAGACTTTTCAAATCAAACTCACTTTAAAAATTTATACTGAATATTACAAGATATTACTTATCTATCAAATATCTCTATTATCTAATACTATATATCATAATAAAAAAATATAGTTTTTTTTATTGGTTAATAAATGTTGAAAATCACGTGAAACTTAACCAATATAAGGGCGAATTTTTAAATGTAATAGATCAGGTTCTCAAAATTATATGGGCGCTTTGCAGTAGAAAGGAAAAAATTTTTTTTTTGGTAGTTTCCTCCCTTTCTACTGCAAAGCACCCATATCTTTTCTAAAAAATTTCTCTTAAATCTTTTTCAAAAATCTAAAACTCAATAATGCGTTCAACGAAAGTTTCTCAAAATGCATTTCAAAAGAAACTGAACGTATGAAATCTTTTCGTGCGCCCCAAAGAACTAAGGTTCAAATATCTACAGAACTACAAGTTTAAATACAAGAAGAGGAGAAGAAAAGACAGATAATGACAGAAATGCTTGCTTGTATAATTTCAGATCAAACTATCGAGAAAGACCATTACAACAAAGAATAAATATATTGGAAACTGAAAACTTTCATCAGAGAGAAGCATCGTTAAATCAGTGGATTTTTTATAAAGATTTGTGAGAAGGACGGGTGTTGACTTCAGTTGGATGGTCGGGGTGGTGGTTAGGATTATTATTTATGCTTGGATTATTTCTTGGGATTTTTCTTCGCTGGTGGTTCTTTGGGTTGGGCTGGTGGTAATTGTGGCTGGACAATATCGTATATTTTGAAAACCCTTTATTCATCACAGATACATCAAATAGTGCGAGTAACGGAAATAACTTTTTTTCTTTTTTTTTTACTACCGGTCTTTTATGGTAGGCTTCTCTTTCTAGATTCTTTTCGATAAGATTTTTGTTTTTTAAAACTGTTTTTTCACAAAGTTAAAAACATATTTTGGGTCTTTATATATAAAAATGTTATTTTAAGCGTGAATTTTTTACTTTTTTTCCTTTTATTCAAGGATTTTTTTTTTTATTAAATTCAGAGTTAGATAACTAAAAGTACTTTTAAAAGTTCGTTATATATGTAGTTCAAATATATATATAAATATAAATGAAATAAAGAATCATTATTCCTCTTTTTCGTTCTTTTCAACTCTTGCCACTCTGTACATGGCTGTCATGGTTTTAGCGGCTTTTGTGTGAATGTTTAAACCACCATAAAACGCTTTAGTTGAATCTTTTCCATAATAATTTCTTAAAACCTTTGCACCACCAGGATGTGCATCTTTAAATTTTGAAACGTCCAATACAAATTCACCAACTAATACCCATTCTTTTCTTTCCCGGTTTTGTTTCTCTTTATACTGTTTGTAAGTCATAACCGGTAAAGTGGAAGGATCGACACCCCAGTTGCATTGCTCGCGATTCTGTTGTAATTTAATCAATTCCATGTTGAGCATTGCTTTGCGCACTTCATTATCAGGAGCACGAATTAAGCTCGGAATTTGATTTGTAAAGAGATGTATGACATAGATTATCCATTTTGTTGGGTCCCAGTCAAATAATCGATATCCGTTTCGAAAGTCTTTGGGGAATTCATGATGCTGTATACAAATGAACGTAATATTTTAAAAAAAGGAAGGTTAAGGAGAAATCACGTTACTCCATACTTACATAATTGTGATAACCTTCACCGTTGGTCAATAGAGCAAGAAATAAATTTCCACGTGCTGAAACTTCGTTGGAATAAAGTTGATCACCGGCCCAATGCGCAAAACTATTAATACAAAAAGTTGAATGCCAAATGATTATACGACTTAGGAAACCTCCATATAACAATCCGCCGAGGGTATCTCCCATGAATGAACCGATCAAGGTGGGAAGTAATAATCCGCAAGCCAACGTTAAAGGAACATAGTTTTTATGTTGAAATTTAACTATGGGATCTGCATTGAGATCCGATGAATCGATCAGTTCCATTCGTGGATAATAAGGTTTCTTGAAAATCCAGCCCATATGAGAAAACCAAAACCCTTTTGCAGCTGAATAAGGATCATGTTCCGTATCCGTCCATCTGGTGGGAAAAAAAAACAATTAAAATAACGTGGTTGAAAATGTTTTTGAACCGCAACCGCAACCGCAGCGTACCTGTGATGTAGTCTGTGACGAAGAACCCACCACTTGATAGACCCTTGGAATCCAAGAGTACCCATAAATCCCAAAATGATTCTCAAAGGAAACCTTGCTTCAAATGCTCGATGACTCCATAATCGATGATATCCGATCGTAATTCTATTTATTTCATTTTTAATCAAGGAAATCAGGAATTAGTTGAAAACTTTTAAAGAGTAATTTTTTTTTTTTTTTTTAATAAAAGTACAAATTACCCGAGCATTCCTAACTGACAAAACATAAACATCATAATCCATGTTTTTAAAGGTGGTGTATATGTTAAAAGTGCAATGAGTGAAATGATGTGCACAACGATAACGAAAGCACCATTTATCCACCAAGCTTCTTCTCTTTCTTTTTTTTGCGAGGATAGTTTATTGATAAACTTTTGCTTTTGCACATCATCAATGTAATCATTTGAAGTTTCTTTCATATTGGTTTTCTTTATCGATACGGATATGATTATTTCGTAAAGCTATTTTCTGACCATTTTTATATTGTTTTTTGACATGTTGACGTTGATGATTGTTACAATGAGTTCATTAACATCAGTTAACTGAGTTTGTATGTCAAAACCCCAAAACCCCAAGGTTATCTTGAGGCGATTAATTAACTCATCATTTGCTAGATCAAATATGCGAAATTTCATTTTTCGTAGATAAGAATTTCCAACATAATGCGTGAACGTGATTATTACGCAATTTTCTTACAAACTTTGTAAAGTCGGGCGTCGATCAATCATATTAAATGATTTGATAAACTATTCCTAACCAAGGAATTCCTTAATGTTCACTTTTTATTTTTTTTTACACATGTGAATAATAATCGTATGTAGTGACACCAAAAAAAAAAAAAAACCAAAAATTTCAGCCAAAGGACATTGTAACGGATATTTTATAATTTATAACCTGTCGAAGCCGGTCATATCTGGTCAGAATATTGGTTCGATCATGTTTGTTGATCAAGCGTTGGCAAATGGGACCCTGATAAGTTCTTGAAATGACCTCAGAATTTACCATTATTGCCGCAAACTGATCAGGTTTTCATAACAATGTATGTCATTCTATTTCTTGGATTCAAACGGGGTTTTTTTGGTCGATTTGAAGTCTTGATTTGATTGGCCAGATCATCTCGTACGACATGCAAACCTTAAAAAATATTTGCCGAGAAAAAAAGCAAGTTCTTATAATGATGACATTTGATGCTATTTTTAAGTCAATAAATAAAAGGGATTAATTCTTTATTCCCTAATTAATTCAGTCCGAGACAAAATTCTCGCTGGATTATTTTGGGGCACATGATTTCATACTCTCTTATGTGTTTATTACTGTATTAAAAGATAAAAGGGTCGTACAATAAGGTCAAAAAATGTTGTTGAACAAGTAGGATCCGAACTCCAAAAGATTTGTCATCCTGTAACTTCATCATTTAATCGCACCACATTAAAACTCTCTTTGTCAATCAATTTACCCATAAGAGTAACAAAAAAAGGTGTTCCCGTAATTAAATGGGACTTTTTATTCACAAAGTTCTTTTTTCTTAAAACATAGATAATGTTAATCTATTTATTTCTTCTATTAATAACGTTTCATATCATATGGTGTTTTAAGAACAAGGTTAAGCGAACAATACCGTAAATAAATGTAACATGCATAACAATATTAACAATTTTCCCAATGATTATTCAGATCATTGACTTTTCGGGAATAAGCTTGCAAGTATATAAATTATTTCCTAATTCAGACATAATGAATGAAACGCAAACCTCCCCCCCTTGTTAGAAATTCGTTTTGTAATTGGCTGGATGTTGAACAAGGTTGTTCGGATCGTTGAATGCCGCAGTTACTCATTTAATATAAATATGAACTTTCGTTTCTCTCTTTCTCAGTAGGAAAAAAGAACTTTTTATAAAAAAAATAGTAACAAATAAAGCTCTTACTTTTCTCAACTTGTTGATCAAGTTCACAAATCCCTTCATCTTTATAAGCTCGTAGATCGAGTCAAAACATATCATCCTTTTTCAACTTCATTAAACCTTTTTCCAAATTTTTTATTCATTTTCTTCTTTTTCTTTTTCTTTTTCTTCTTTTTTTTTTTTACCTTTTTTAAAAAACCGAATTTTCTAAAATGACCAAAGTCAATATTCCATCAATGTTAGTCTCTCCCAATTCACCTACACCAAAAAGTACAAACTCCATTTATTCGCTCTTTTCTCTTAAAACTCCCTCTATAAAATCCTCATTAAAATCGCCACAAAAATCTCCAATCAAATCATTCAAGTCAACTACTACTTCTTCAAAGAATGAAATAAAATATGTATTAAATGGTGCGAAAAGAGTATTAACAAAATTTCAACATTTTAATCATCATCATGAATTCGTAAAGTGTACCGGATTCATCGAACAAGTAATTAAAATATTGGAAAATGTTGGAACTTTATCGAAAAATAAAAGAGATCAATTAATTGAAACTAAAGAATATAATGATTGTAGTACCTTGATTTCTGAAATTGAATATTACTTCAAAAAACATGATCAAGAAAATTCAAATCCATCCGAAGTTGAGGAATCTCTCAAAAAATTCGTTCTTAACTTGGAAATTGTCGTTAATGCTATCCAGCGAGCCTCTGAACATTTGAAAACAAAGAAAGGAAGTAAATGGAGTCCTTCTAACGTTTCGAAAATAAAAACGATTGGAAAATTGATGGTGATGAAAAAGGAATCAGATCGAATTAAAGATGATGGCGATTTCGTTCCTCTTACGCATGAGGAGGAACCTGTGATTCAACAAGGATTAAATATTCCGACCTGTGAAGTAGAAGAACCGTCAAACATCCCGACAAGTGTGGAAGATCCATTGAACGTTCCGACGAGCCAGAAAGAAAATTCAATTGAACCTGTTATCCAACGAGAAGTAATTATTCCGAAAAGTTTAAGTAGGGAAGACGAAAGTCCAAATGAAACTATCATTCAACAAGATATCATTATGCCGACAGGTTTCATTAAACAAGAATTGATCATTCCAACAGGTCTCAATCGTGAGGGCAATTATGAAGGAATGTTTTTTAATAATAAACTTTCCGAGAAATGTATTGGAATCATTTCAAGAGATGATATCAAATTCACTAAATTTAAAGATGAAATGTCATATCTCATGGATTTATCATATGGTTGTAACAATATTCTCTCGGTAAAAGGATTTACTGAACGTTCGATTAAGGAAAATCCTTCCATTTTGATTTATATTGTGAATTTCTTAAGTTCTTTCTTCTTTAACTATAAAAATAAACATGCAACCATGTTGGTTACCGAATGGGCGGAATTTAATCTTCCAGATTATTTAAAAAAAAATGATCTAGATTGGAGTGCTAAACTTTCTATCGCTCGTGGAATTGCCAATGCGTTGAATCATATTCACAATTTAAACCTACTTCATTACAACGTCAAAAGTGATAGTGTCTTATTGGATCATGATCTTGAACCAAAACTTCATAAATTTGGTAAGGATGCAAAAGATTGCGTCTTTTTAAAATCAGCAGGATCATTAAAACCTTCAAATTGGTCAGCTCCTGAAGTTAAACGAGGAGGAAAATACACTTCAGCAAGTGAGGTTTATAGCTTTGGAGTTATTCTTTGGGAGATTGCCACGCAAGAATGTCTATCAGGAAATAAATCTATCGATAAAAGAGATATTGTTGATGCGCCTACAAATTATCTTACCATCATGAAAAGTGCTTTGGATCAAGAGCCTCAAAATCGTCCAACTATGCAAGAGATGTTTGATACTCTGAGTCAATTGGAGTCTTTTTATAGCGTCCGTCAACAAAAACAACAAAATCTCTCGATAAGAAATATTATAAATATTTTAAATACGAATTCTGCTGTTTCTAGCTCATCTGAGGATCTCACTATTGGTAAATATTTCTTTTTTTTTAAAAAAAAAATTCAATTTCATAAATTCTAATTCTAATATATAATTTCTAATTATAATTTTAGATTCTGCATCATCACGAGTTACATCACGTGAAAACTCACCAGCACCTTCAATATCAGATCAAGAATATATGTTCTTCACCAATAATGTCAATATTACTTCAAAAGTTGAAAATTCTACCGATAATGACGAATTTACTGTTAGCGAATCTACTTCAAGTATTGAAAAATCTCCCACCGTTAATGCCGATGATACTGAAAAATCATCAATATTTACCACCAATGACGTCGATTATCACTCAGATACCGAAAATTCAACAACCATCATCAATAATGTCGAAGCAAATGCTGAAAAGTCACCTACTTCTACCAATGACATCGATTATCATTCAGATATCGAAATTTCAACTTCCACCAATGACATCGACTACCATTCAGATACCGAAATTTCAACAAATTTCACCAAGGATGTTGAAACAATTGCTGAAAAATCACCAACTTCCACCAATAACGTCGACTACCATTCAGATACCGAAATTTCAACTTCCACTAATGTCGTCGACTATCATTCAGATACCGAAAGTTCAACAAATTTCATCAAGGATGTAGAAACAAATGCTGAAAAGTTACCAACTTCTACCAATGACGTCGACTACCATTCAGATACCGAAATTCCAACTTCTACCAATGACGTCGATTATCATTCAGATACCGAAAGTTCAACAAATTTCACCAAGGATGTAGAAACAAATGCTGAAAAGTCACCAACTTCCACCATTGACGTCGACTACCATTCAGATACCGAAATTTCAACTTCTACCAATGACGTCGATTATCATTTAGATACCGAAAGTTCAACAAATTTCACCAAGGATGTAGAAGCAAATGCTGAAAAGTCACCAACTTCCACCAATGACGTCGATTATCATTCAGAAACCGAAAGTTCAACAAATTTCACCAAGGATGTTGAAACAAATGCTGAAAAGTCACCAACTTCCACCAATGACGTCGATAATTACAGCAATTTTTTCCAAGGAACTCATACTTACTCAATAATTGTTGTTAAACACTTCAAACATATCCATGATTGTAATAAATGTCAAGAGCTAGAAAAAATGCTTATTCAGTCAGATAAAAAAGTATTTCCTATGGAAGCAAGAGATATCGATACAACTACCAGTTCCTCGGTCAGTAATAATACATTTGTAATCTACCATTCAGATACCGAACTTTCAACTTCCACCAATGACATCGATTGTCATTCAGGTACCGAAAGCTCAACAAATTTCACCAAGGATGTTGAAACAAATGCTGAAAAGTCACCAGCTTTCACCAATGACGTCGATTATCATTCAGATACCGAAAGTTCAACAAATTTCACTAAGAATGTCGAAACAAATGCCGACAAGTCACCAACTTCTACCAATGACGTCGGCTGTCATTCAGGTACCGAAAGTTCAACAAATTTCTCCAAGAATGTCGAAACAAATGCCGACAAGTCACCAACTTCCACCAATGATGTCGACTACCATTCAGATACCGAAAGTTCAATTTCCACCTATAACGTCGATTATCATTCAGGTACCGAAAGTTCAACAAATTTCACTAAGAATGTCGAAACAAATGCCGACGAGTCACCTACCTCCACCAATGACGTCGGCTGTCATTCAGGTACCGAAAGTTCAACAAATTTCACCAAGGATGTTGATGCAATTGCTGAAAAGTCACCAATTTCCACCAATGACGTCGGCTGTCATTTAGATACTGAAAGTTCAACAAATTTCACCAAGGATGTTGGTACAAATGCTGAAAAGTCACCAACTTCCACCAATAACGTCGACTACCATTCAGATACTGAAAGTTCAACTTCCACCAATAACGTCGATTATCATTCAGATACTGAAAGTTCAATTTCCACCAATGACGTCGACTGTCATTCAGATACCGAAAGTTTAACAAATTTCACCGAGGATGTAGAAACAAATGCTGAAAAGTCACCAACTTCCACCAATAACGTCGACTACCATTCAGATACTGAAAGTTCAATTTCCACCTATAACGTCGATTATCATTCAGATACCGAAAATTCAACCAATAATGTCGAAACAAATGCTGAAAATTCACCAACTTTCACTAATAATATCAAATCTACTTCGGATACTGTAATACTTACCAATGATGTAAATTCTGCTTCAAATATTGAGAACATTGATTTGAATGAATTTAAGAAACTTCATAACAATAAACAGTATCGTAAAGCATTTAAATTAATTAATGGTTATGCCAAACTGGATCCTAAAGTACTATTTTGGATGGGATATTATCATTATAAAGGATATCATGAATCATCACCATATAAGCCAGATATAATGACAAGCCTAAAATACTTAGAAGCAGGAGCAAAATTAAATGATCCCGACGCACAATACTATTATTCTCATATAATATTTCATTGTTGTTTAAATGGCATAGAGAATGGATATGAAATTGCTTTAAAACATTTGAAAAAAGCATCAGAACAAAATCATCCAGCTAGTATGCTCGAATTAGGTAAGTATATGATAGATGGTAAATTTGGTTGTAAAAAAGACATTACATCTGGTAAAACTTTGATCCGACGGGCTAAGGAATTAGGCAACAGATCAGCTAATTCTGACCAGAAAGTAGATGGCACGAAAGCAAGGAAATATCAAAGAACTTCAAATGCATCTACAAGTCCTTTGAAAAGAAACGTTTATCAAAGGAGAAGCAGAACATCATCAAATGCTAGCTCAGCTTCTTCCATAAGATCTATGATAGTTTCTAAATCATTTTCTAGCAAAAAAACTAACACAATAACAATGGATCAGACATAGTGCATATGTATAAATCAAAAAAAAAAAACAAAACAAAACAATTATATTGGACTTTTTAATCAAAGAACATTTTTCCCTTTATATATATATATTTATTCTTTTGTACACTAGTAATTAATTGTGTTTAATAAATAAAGAATGTTTAATTAAATAAATTTTCAATAATAGCCGCCCCACCTCCGGGTCTAGTAGCAAAAATGAAATTTTCTAAATCATTATGTGATAAATGTGAAAATCTAACATTATAATATTTTTCACTAACAAAGTTAATAAATTTGTCGATCTCATTCTCGCGAATTAAAGAAACGGTACAACCACCCCATCCAGCACCGGTTAACCTGCTACCAACTGCACCACCATCCAAACAAATTTTTACCAAATCATCCAGTTCATCGCAAGAACATTCGAACAATTCTTTACAACTTTTGTGACTTTCATTTAACAAATTACCTAATTCTTCGAAAATCGATCCTCTCGCTTCACTTTTCGAACATAACTCATAAAATTTTAATACTCTCGAAGACTCCTCAAAAACATGTTTAGATCTTTTATATAATTGAAATTTTTCTGCTTTAACGGGAAATCTACTCAGAAATTTATCCTTAATTTCATCCTGATTCAAATTCAAAAGTGAACTTAATTCATCTAGAGTGAACCCATCATGATTGTTTTCATAAACCTTTTCAATGTAATCCAATAATTTAATTAAATTCTCGATAGTAACTTCAATACTGTTTGAATATAAATCGCTAACTTTTTTCAAATTTTCACAAGGCTTGTTAAATAGACATTGACCTAAATGATAGGCGGCTAATTTTGTTTCCACGACCCTTAAATTATAATTGGTTGGTGCAGTAACTATCTTATCAGAGGTAATAAGAGAATTGGCTATAACGAACGCAATTGGAGGATTAGTGGATGGTAATTTTGTTGGTGTCGCGCAAAGTGATGGTAAAAATTGAATGTATAAAACGTGATCTTTTAATGAAAACATTGAAGCGGTTTGATCCATACCCCCCGCGTTCATTCCTATAGATCTTTCAGCCTCAATTGCAATTTCTACAATTTCTTTTTTTGTTAACTTTACATCATTAGAAGAACAGGTCGCGATACAAACTGAACAAATAAAGGCCGCAGAGCTAGATAATCCTGCTCCCGGGGGAACGTTTCCATCAACCAATAAATACATCCCTTTAGGTTTGTCTAGTGATGAATGTTGAACGATTCCTTTATAACCGCTTTTGGGATAATTTCCCCATTCAGAAATCCCTTCTTTAACTTCAATTTCTACGATCTTCTCTTTCCCTTCATATTTCCAATTCCTTGGTGGATAGTTTTCATTTAATACATTTGCTACTCTAACCTTCATATCATTTTCTTCTCCTTCATGAATAATATCAACAGCAATCAATACATCCCTATTAATCGCCATAGGCAATACTCCAAACCCTGCATAATCGATATGTTCTCCGATTAAATTCACTCTACCCGGTGAACGTGCAATAAATTTCGGTTTACGATTATATAATTTTTCAAACGAGTCAATTAATTTTTTATATCTTGTTATTTGCGAAGGAAGACTTAATTCTGGATAAATATCAGAAAGCGAAGAAAATTTTATATGAGGTACGAATTCTTTATCCATAATTTACAATTCGGAGAGAAAAAGAAGTAAAAAAAGGGGGGAAGATATACAAATTATATAAATTATATATTTTTTTTTTAGGAAAAGAAAATCGTGGTGAAGTGATACAATGTAACCACATTTTAAAATGTCGATTTTTTTTGTTGTGATATATAATGTATAAAATCGAGGTTGTAGAAATTTTAATTACCACAAAAATTGACGCATATCCATTACCAAGAATCGACGATTTATTAGATTCATTAGGTGGAGCAAATTGGTTCACTACCCTTGATTTAGCTAGTGGTTACACAACGGTAGTAGATTATCGTATAAATATCGACTTTTTTTTTTTTTAAAAAAAAAAAAACTCTTACTTTTTCCACGAATAACTTTATCTTTTTAAATGACGCCAATAGATTTTTTTAATCGTACGAGAACCAAACAAGGATTGACTTCTTATATCTTTGGAACTATTCGATACATATTTAAATGTAGCGCAAGTCATTCATGTAATGGTATTTTTTTCTCAAAAATATATCATCATTATACGTTTTTTCCAAAGGGATTTATACCAATCAATTTATTAATATTCAGAACCTATCAACGAAATCATTTATTTTACTTGTCAAGAATAAAAAAATGTGAAGGCGTTACATCAGATTTTATACCTGAGCATCATTTTGTATACGACAAAAAAAGACATTTACCGATAATACCGAGACGATTCTCAACGACGCAAAATGAAAGAGGATCATCTTCATCATCATCAGAAGCAAAACCTACCAAATCACACCTTGAATTAAATTTTATGATAGATGAATTGTCATCAAAGAAAAGGATTATACAACGATTTTTTAGAATTAGAAAGCATTTAAATTTCAAGGAAGAATTATCTAGTAAAAAAGGGGTTGTGAGAAGGTTTTCCAAAGTTAGGAAAAGGATTTCAGTTAAAAGGGATGAACGTTCACGAGGGTCATCAGATTCACATACGGGAGTGAAAGCGAGATATTTTATTCGTTATCGATTTCCGTATGGTTATTTACCTCAAAAGGTGACACGGGCACAAATAAAAATGGTAATGGAGCGAACAAAGCAATGGGAACAAAGCATGAGTGATGTATGCATAAGAACCATCAAAAGGATTTTGGTATCCATCAAGAGACATGATGCCGAAAAGGTTTATACGATTATTGAAAATATTTTATATCAACCAGAATTATTCAGGTGCCTCTCTATTTTAGAGATACGGAAGCTTGTGGAATTTTTCTCCGTAAAACATCCATCATATGCCATTGCTGTCTTGGAAGCGGCAAGAGATTACGAGTTGGGATTGAGTCATCAGGATTTTAGCACGATGCTCAAATTATATAGAATGTTAGAAGATCATCATATTGGTGCCATGTATACCCTCGATGTTTTAAAAGTTCAAGGGTTTAATCCTAGTTTGGAAGATTATCTTAACCTTTTACGCGTTATAATCATGAAGGGTGTCAGTTTGCAACAAGTGTTGAATTATGTCGAAGAGATGACAGCAAAAGATTATCAATTGGACTATTATGTCAATTCACTTCTGATCGATAGACTGATGGAACAAAATAATATAGCAGTAGCTGGCGAGTTATTTATGAGCATGATAGCGAAAAGGCAAACGACCCATGGGTTGATTCTCCCAGAAATATTTATGCGACAACAGGAAGGTGAAGAATCTTCAAGAGATTTGTCTTTATACGTTACGATTTACAGTGTACTAATACAAACATTTATTAGTCATGATCATTATGATAAAGCTGTGGAATTTTATTGGAAACTTTTGGATAAACAGTCATCACCTGATGATCAAATTGTTGAGATGATGATTTCCGCTTGCTTAGTTAGAAATGATGCCAAGACCGTGCGGAAATTTTTACGGCATACGCAAACGCCAGCAATAAGTCATATATACTTTCAAGCGATGGATCATTGCGTCAAGAAAAGGAATTTCAAAGATTTATTCAAGTTGTATGAAATCTCTTGGGAGAAAAACGTTATTTTTACAGAACAAGAATATCATAATTTAATATATTCATTATACATAGCGGACTGTGTAACGGACGCTTTTAGGCTTTACAAGGATGCAAGATCAAAAGGATTACTCTCAAGAGATCTTTTTATACATAACAAACTGTTGCGAGCCATGTTAAAATATGAAAGAAAAAAAGAAATAGTATTCATCAAACAAGAGATGGAAGATTTAGGAATAAAATCGGATCTCGAAACGTATGGGATCTTGATCCAACTGTCCGCGATTCAACGCGAGCCTGAGAAATCCGAGGCGATTTTTCGTGAAATCCATCAGTCAGGGTTATCAATAGATTACACAATCTTTTCTTCCTTGATCAAATGTTTTGCGGATCTAGGGGATTTGGGAAAAGCCAAAAAAGCATTAAATTTAATGTACAAATCGGGGCTTAAACCAACGATCAATGATTACAATAATTTAATCAGGGCGGCAGGGAAATTAACGAATTACGAAGTCAAGAAGATTGGCATTCTTATTTTACGTGGTAATCGGAATAAGCACATACTCACACCAAATATTGATACCTATAATTGCTTTTTAGAATCTTATTTGACGTCAAATTTTTTAACGGTTGCGAAAAAGATTTGTAGAACTATAATCAAGGATGGATTTGAATTTAATTTAGAAACGTTTCATATATTGTTTAAACATTGTTACAAAATTCGAGGATACAAAGCGGCTTTTGAATTCTTCTATGATCAACTAGAATATAATGGATTAGAACCATCTGTTCACACGTGGAATCTATTGATGGACAAAGCCGTTGAATCCAAGAGTCCAAATACCATAAGACAAATTTATAACGAATTATATAATAGAGGGATTAAATTAAACCGTACTTCATTGTATAGTAGATTAATTTCATTTTGGGGATATGAAAAAGAATATCATGAAGCTGAAACAATTCTAGATCATTTGAGAATCGGAAGGGTAGATGATGATGAGTTGATTGATTCGATCGATGAGCTTGTCAAGATTTATATCATTCATAAGCATTATGAAAAGGCAGCAAATCTTTGGAAAATTATTCAAGATGAAAGATTAATTCCCAATGAAAATTTATATAATAATTTAATTAAATTATACACAATAACGGAAGATTATGATGAATTACAAAAGATTTATAAGGTCAGGGATCAAGGATAATACTAATTAACTTTAATGAAAGGAATTTTAATTAAATACCATTGTGAATAAAACCTGCTTAATTAACCTGTGATTGAGAATTCATATGATTTAATTAATTAAGAATAAAACATAATATAACAACATTATTATTCCTGATTTTTTAATAATAATAGTAATAACATAAGCTGTTTATGAAATGACCAAATTTAATGATAAAAACGGGAAAAGTAGTAAAGAAAAAACTTTCATATGTGATTTGAGGATTGCGTTATTTCATTGGTTAATAATTTATTACCCAAAAAAAATGAACCTTATATTTTTGTATCTCTTGGCGTTTTTGATTTAATCCCAGAAAGGGAGAACAATCTATTATTTTACATTATGCTCCAAGGTGTGAGAACTTTAAATAGAGAAAAAACGAGTTAAAACAAGAGTCGGAAAAGAAAAAGATTTATTAATTACAAATATGGATACTTAAAAACCATATTGGCAAAGATTTTAGACGGATAAGCTGGATATTTACAATGACGTATTGTAAAATGCAGGGTATTCATTTATAACGTAATGAAATGCAGGAATCTATCCCGAGACAAACAATGCAGATATCAATTGTATCAAATTTAGGAATTTAGCTTTGACCAGAAAACTACCGGCCAGCACTATGCTTGATGGACCAAATTTGGAAAACCTTATGCGAACATGTGTCACCATCACATTATCACGTGGGATTTTCCCAAACTAATCAGGACATTCATGCATTGACCTTTGACAAGAAAAAAAAATATATATATTATTTTCCTTACCAAAAGGACCCTGATGAATTTTTTTTTTTCTTTCTTTTCTTTCTTTTTTCACTTTTTTTTTCATTGCTAGTGGCATTTGAATTTGTTTTTTGTTTATCAGGGCGGAAAAGTGATAAATATGGCTGCGGCCAATAAATTTTTTTTTTGTTTTTTTTTCTTTTTATCATACAAAATAAAAAGATTTGCAGCAACTCATTGTTCATCAAATCCTGTGCGACAGTTGTATGTCATTTAACGAATGACAACTGTGTAAAATTAGAAATCATGTTACGTTTTGGATGGCTGTCACTAATGAAAGATGTCCAATGATTGGAGTGTTGACAAATTTTTTAAAGAATAATATTACTGCAGGAACAGTTTTTTTGATATTGCACCAAAAAATATTTAATCAATTTAATCAATTTTACATTACATTTATATTATTTATATTAAATAATTTAATATCTATTATATCTATTACATATACTTTAAAATATATTAACGAAATTTTTGAATCTCCTTTCTAAAATAAGTGTGATTGAATTGATCATGCATAAAATATTCCCAATGATTCTCAGCTTGTACCATATCAAAATGCAAACTTTTTTTTTTTCTTTGCTTTTTTTTTTTTTTTTTTTTTTCCTCAATTTACTTGTTTATTTACTCTCTGATGGATTAATGTAACTTAAAAAAAAAAAAAATTTAAACCATAAATATATAAAGGACCATCTTTAAAGTTTTTCCTTTTTTTTTTTCTAGAAATTTTTTTTACTTCAAAAATCTTTGAAAAAAGAAATTTTTATTTTTTTTAAAATAATTTTTTTTATTTTAAAAAAAAAAAAAAAAAAAAAAAAAAAAAAAAACGTAAAATAGAAGATAGAAAGTAGAGTGTGCTGTATCTTCACATCTTTTCACATACAAAGGAAATATCAATAAAATAAAATAAAATAAAATAAAAAACAAAAAAAAATGCGTTTACGTAAATCTTTTAGTCAATCACTTAAAAAATCCGTTCGCAAAGTTAAAGTTGCCTTAAACAACAAGAAGAAAACAAAAAATGAAGGTAAGGTTCATCCTTCTTCTATTTCATTATGCATCGGGAACCTATATCGGATATAAGGTATAAAAAAATCCGATTGGACAAGCGAATTGTCAAATTCAATAATAAACTTTACTAACAAGTTTAATTTATTTTTTAGTAGGAACCATAAATTTAAGTGAAAAGCGAGCCGGCAGAGATATTAACGACTCCACGTGGCTGGACCTAGGTGCAAACTTACAAGACAATAGAATAGAACATTGGTGGCAAACGGAAGAAGAAAGAATTATGGGTGAATTACGAAGCGTTGGTAAAACTGAACCAATCTCGTTATAATCCTCAATTTTAAACTGAACAAAGTGAACAGAGATTATTTAGAAAAAAAAAAAAATTGTAGATGTCCTCTTTATTCTCTTTTTTTTTTTTAAAAAAAAAAAAAAATGAAAAAAAAAAAAAGAGAAAAAAAAAATGACAAAAGGACCAAAAAAAAAAAAAATTCCCGTTTTTTATAATTTATCCTCTCATTTTGAGATTCCGAATAAACATATCCTGAGCAACAGTCGTAACATATACGACTGAGAGAGATTGGATTCAAATTATGACATCGTTCAAATATCTTCCCAATTGTCAAAAATTCATTTTCTTGACGATTTAAGAAATCACCCTCCAAATTAAGCATGTAAATAAATCCCGACAATTTCATTTTCCCTTTCATGTTTCAATAATAACCATAGCTCAACAGGGTTGACTTTGTAATTTATTTAAAAATGGTTTGTAAAACGGTTATTGAAATGTATTTTTAAAATTTTTGTATCTTTTGTAATGTATTTTATTTATTTCATCTTAAAATTCACTTTTTATTATTAATAAGTGTCATTATTATTTTTATCAATATTTTTTTTTGTATTACATCATTATATATATTTTTAATTTCTTTTCTTTTTTTTTTTTTTTTTTTTTTTTTTTTTAGCGTTATATCAAATGCTTATTGCTTTTTAGAAGTGAAAAAGTTTTTTCTTTTAATTTTTTTTAAAAAAAAAAAAGCCGTAAAAAAATAAAATAAAAATCAATAGATTGGTTAAATTGTAAAAGTATTTTTTGTTCTATCACTAAATAAACGGTAAAACGAATTTCCGAAACCAAATGTGTCACTACCTGAAAAAGAATTAAGAAAGATTTGCAAATTGTTTTCGTTTCAGATAGTACCACTATCGGTCTCTAACGCCAACATTTCCGTGAACGAAAAGATAACTTTGTTACAAATCATTATGACTTGAATCAAAGAATTGGTTCAATCAATTTTCGTGTGCGAAAACACGTGGGATTCATTTATTCAAAACGTCAATATTTGAAACAACTTGATCCATAACTGTTCAACATTACTTTCACATAAAGAATTATCAGTAAGAATTCTTTATGGTCTTAATAGAATAATATCATTTTTACTTTTGCAAATTCAAACTATAAACGGTTCTTCAGATATATAACCTAATCGTTTCATCCCAAACAGTTTCATTACTACTTTCCTATTTTCACATCGGTCAACATGTAGAAATAAGATTCAGTGCTGCAACAAATAAATATGCCCCCCGCAAACCTATAAAAAAAAAGCTCGCATTTACGTAATATTATTGATTTATTTATTACCATAATTAGGTTACAGTTTTCATTGTCAAGAAATTTTTCAAAGTTGTTCTTGTATAACAATGTTCAGTTTGTAGGTAATCAAACAACCGTTTGTCGCAACCTAGACCAAAGTTCCTTCTTTCCTCTAGAGAAAAGCATATCAATTAGTTCGCTTCCTTTATTCCTTCTCGACCTTTGAAAAATTGTCAAAAAGAGCCACTTATATTTCAAAAATTTATCAGGTAATAATCCTCTCAGAGATTAATTTTTTTATTTATTGTTTATGTACCGTTAAAATCAAAAAAATCTCTTCCATTCAAATCCTTTCCATGTAATAAATATATTTGTTTAGTTTCCTTTGTTCTTCTAAAAATCAACAAAAAGGATGATAACTTTTTTGATAATTCCTCTATTTTACATCATTAATTCGGTAAGTTCTAAGTTCTGCTTTTTTAAAAAGAACTCCGGAAAACGTACAGATGCATGCAGAAATAAGCCGGGCCACCTGGAAATCATCCATAAAAAAAAAAAAAAAACGCGCCAAAAAAAAACCCTGCAACATCTCATGTTTCGAGGCAATTCAGGCTTTAGCACGTTTCCGAACCTTTTCAAAACTTTCTGGACATTTCTGTATGCACCTGTACGTTTTCTGGACGTTCTTTTTGACTCATGTGAAAGTTCCTTTATTATGATCATTTTTTCTTTTTTTGGTACAAACGTGAAAATAAATATATAAAAAAAATAAAATAAAAGGATGATTTTATAAGGAAAAGATACAAAATTTAAATTAGGATTAACTGAATCATAAAATCAACTTTTTTTTTTAAAAAAAATAATTAACGTTTTTGCATTTTCTAAATATTTTTTTTTTGTTTTTCAATGAAACGATATCAATCGATTATGTATTTAAATATTATCAAGTTGACACATTTTCTTCAAATAACATTCTAGAAAATTCACCGTCGATCATTTAATTTATAATTTTTTTTTCCTTTCGTAAATTATATGAAACAGAATTTTTTTTTGAAATTCCTGCAACATGATGGATGTAGGTAATCTGAATACGGTAATTTAAATCTAGAAATGGTTTGTTGGTAGTTTGATGAACATTACATTACATACAGTACCTACCTGGATACAAAACACGGAATTATTAATTTTATACATTTTCAATTTACTATAATATTTCATTTATTTATCATTTTACATGAATATCAATACTTGCTCTCTTTAGATATTTTTAATTTAAAAAAGCAAGTAGCTAAAAGTTTAGTATCATCAGTTAAATATAATAAAATAACAGTAAAATGAGCTTTTTATAATCAGTTATAAAAATAGTTATGTTAAGTATTCTTTTAATTTAATATATTAAAGACAAGTTAATTGAAGTATCATTTATATACCAATATTAACTATAAATTTGCAAAATTAAATCTTTTCATAAAACCTTTTAAATATAATGCTGAAAATTTAAAATTGTTAATATTTAAATAAAAATTAAGACATTTTCTTTTTTTGTAATAGATTTTGATTTCTTAATATTATTAAAATTGCTTGTTTAAACCTATTTTAAATATAATAAAATGTTTAAATTTTTAGTTTTGTGAATTTTTTATTAAGCTTTGATATAATTTTTTACTTTTTATTATTTAATTAACTTGTAAACTTTTAGCTTTTATCCAAAATTAGTATCTTAATAATTTTTATTTTATATTACAGCTTTTATTATTTGATGTATTATAAAAATAAGTTTATTTTAAATTTTAAAAAATAAGTATCTTTTCTTTATATATTATTTAAATATAAAAAGTGATATTTTCTAATTAATTTTTTTGATTTTAATATAAAATTTATTTCAATTTTAATTTATAGTAAATTTTAACTGTTAATCTATTACTTTTAAGTTATTCATAAAATTCTGAATAGGTTAAGTAAGGTTAAATTAATTAAATTACTTGAACTAAGAAGTTAAATCAAATAAAAATCTGTTTTGACTTAAAATTCAATTTTAACTAATCTGTCTTAACTTTACTTGATTAATAATTTTTTTTAATAATTTATTATTTAAGAAATATACTTTATTATCAATATATTATTATTTTTTTGAATTATTTAAAAAATACAATTCAACATTATTTAATTAGAATGATATATTATCATTCTTTTTAAATGATTGATTAATTTTACTGAAATAAATCATTCTACTAATTTATTATTAAAGATAATTAACCAATAAATATATACCTATTTTTTATTAAAAATATTTAAAATTTCAGTTAAATAATTAAAAAAATATTTAATAAAATTATTTAAAAGTTTTTAATTTATTTATTAGATTAATTGAAGCTTTTAATAATGATATTATATTTTTAATTATATCTAAAAATAACATAAAGATTTTATTTACAAGAATCATTTGAATCATTTAATATAAATATTTTTTTTTCTTAATTTAAGATTATAAAGAGAAAATGCAAATTATTAATCTCTAAATATAAAATTTTACTAAAATCTATTTTAAAATTAGCTATTTTAAATATTTAATAAATTCTAAAATTGTATAATAATGCATAATAAATATCTATAAGATATTATTATAGAATAACTTAAATCTAAATAGATAAATCAATTATTAATATAAATAATAATTAATAATAATTAATTATTATATATAATAATCAATTAATATATAAATCTAATAAATATATTAAATATAAACAGTTTTATTAAATAAAGTTTAGAGAAAATTTTATAAGTACTATTAAAATTTCTATCTATTAAAACTTTATATTTATTATATTAAAATATTTTAAATTATATTTAAAATATTTAAAGTAACTGTATTAAGTAGATATTAAAAAAATAAAATTATGAAATATAAATTAAACTACCTATAAAATTTACTTATTTTCATTAGATTCATTTTAATTATTTTAATATCTAAGTTAAAAGGATTATGATAATTAATTCTATTTATTAAATTTATGATTTTAGAATATTTTCTAAATTCTACAGATATTTATTATATTTAAATCAATTTTGTGATTATATGTTTTAGAATTTAAGATTTATTTAATTAAACTCAAATAACGAACTTAAAAGTAAGTTAGTATAAGATAGAGTTCTGCAATAAGCTGAGCTGCTTACAAGTCAAATGAGCCAGTGTGTTTAGGCTTAGCTTAAGCTACTATAAAATGAGCTGTGAGTCAGACAAGCCAGCTTATACTGTGACTTAGCTTGTATTGCAACTGTAATATATAATTAATATTCAAATTATTATATAGGTTGATTGCTAAAAAAATCAGGTTCTGGGAATTTTTTAGTAAAATTGAGATTTTTATTGCATTTTAGTTTTTGATATTATTAGAATAAAATGTATTAAACTCTTTATTTTAGTCAAAAATTTTTCAGAACCTGATTTTCCTAGAAACACTCCCATATTAATTATAATTCTTAAATAAAGAATATTAAAACTAATTAATATGAATATCTAGAATAATAGCAACTATAATAAAAATAGATATTATCACAATTTCAATATTTTTATATATGATAAATAAAAAATTAATAGCAACTACATATAAAGAACATTTTAAAAAATGCTAAATATATATATATCAGAGAGTGACAAAAATATTGCATAATCAAAAATAAAATATTGAGTAAATTTTTCATTAATAATTGAGCCATATTCTATTAAAATCATTTTAAACATCTATTGCATTAATAAAATATATTTATGATTTGTTTAATTTAATATGTTGCAATTCTTAAAATCGAATTTTAAAAAATCTTTATTTTTTAACATTACGCATTATATTTTTGTTAAAAGGCTAAAATACTATTATAAAAGCAAATAATTGATCAGAAATCATAAATTTTATAAGATGTCATTGACTGACCTTATGTGAATACTTACAGCTTATTAATTAGTAAAAATATAAAAAAGCTAAAAACTGATCCTTTAGCGAGAATATATAAAATGCGAAGTATTGAAAAGTAGAGATTTTTTTAAAATTAGATTTTACATTATACATTACTCTAAACTAAATAATGAACAAAATATTTCATTAGGTAATAGTCAACTAATATGTTATTAAAAAAATATAATCCAATTACTTATTAAAAATTTACAAAATTGTCTAATTCTTGACTGTGTAATACTTTTATCACCCTCCTGTATATTTAATATTTTAATTTTTATTAAATATTAAATTTGAATTCATTAAAACCTTTTTTTTAAAAGTTAATTTATAGTGATTTTTTTGATAATATTCATAATATAATAAAAAAAAGAAGATTTTTATTTTTATACCAATTTATTAATTTAATAAATTTTTTATTATAAAGAAATTAAAAATAAAATTTAAGTAATTTAAAATAATATTAAGAATAGATAATAATTGTTTGCTGATTATTCTTTTTGAATAAAATAAATATATAAATTTAATAATATAATAATAAATATAAAATTATATTTTATATTTATAATTATTAACTATTTTACTTTTTTTAAAAAAATGAAGATTAATAAAATCTGTGATATTATCATATATTAAGAAAAAAAAATATCTTTTATTATATTGATGAAAATAAATTCATAAAAATCAGATTTAATAACCTAATATTTATAGTTAAAAGATTAAATTTTATCAATTTATCAATTTTTTTTATAAAAATAATTGTTATATAAAATGAATAATAATTATATTTATAATACTTTTAATAATTAGTTTAAGAATGACTTTGACCTTTAAAGATTATGTCAGATTAACTTTTTTTTGATATTTTAAGTAATAAGTTAACTTTCATAGCTTTTTATATTTTTTACTATTCTTTTCATTTTTATTGATATTTACATAATATGTATTGATTAACTAATATTATTAGATAAATAAAAAATAAATAAATGATTCTGAACAAACTTTACTAATTGTTTTTCTTTACTAGCAAAAATATTTTTAACAAAGTTTAGTTTCATTATTAGAGAAGCTATCTTTTAAGAGAATTAAGAGTCTTATATTATTAAGTTTAAGAATATATTTAATGAGTTTATATATAAATCAACATAATCAATCTCTATAAGAAACTACAATTTTTATAACCATTCTATAATTTATTTGTTTTAGTATAATTTATAAGCTGAGATTTTTAAAGTTGGTATTACTTCCAATATCTAAGATAATTTTAATGAGAATACTATTATTACCTTTTAAGATTTTTCTTTTATTTTGCATTTGAAATTTTAGTAAATATAACTCTTTTATATGATAAAAAAGGTAAAGAAAAGGTAGCAGTAGTGGTAGTAATAGTGGTAGTAGTTATTATTGCATTATTGAATAAGGATTAGAAGCATAACTATCTGATATAAGTATTTGACCTTTATATGTGATGAGAGAGTAATTCAAAATTTACGAAAATGATAATATTAATTATTGATCAGATGAAGGAAAAAAACCTAAACCTGTAACTAAGTGGATAATGACCTTGCTAACTAGGATTTAGAATTAATGGAATTGTAAAGGGTATTTACTTGAAGTTTGTTTTACAAATGGTTGTAAAGATGATTTCACATCAAGTGAATAATTCCATTGAAAGGTTCCATGCTCATGTCTTGCATATGAAATAAAAGTTATTTCTTTTTTAGGCTTGGTAATTTTTTTTGTTCTTATCATAACAATTATGATTTATTATCACTAAACTACTTGATTTCATAATATATTTATTATTTCTTGTATATCAACATAAACATATGGTTGCGTGTTGAAAACAAATTCAGAAATAAATCCAGGAGGTAAAGGTCTAGGGTCCATTTCTCAAATTAGCAAAAAAAAGAAAAAAATAAGTTTTTTAATGATTTATCATCCAAGATAAGCGCAATCAAACAAGGTTTCAAGGGATGATTGTATCACTGCATAAATCATCACCCCGAAGTTTTTTAATCTGATTATAAATACCATTAATGTAAATAATAAAATTATACTTAATTTTTGACAATCATCTTAATCCTAAATAGTAAAGCAAAGCACGAACTTTAAAAACAACGCCCGCTCATTTTTCCAATTCTGATTTATAATATATTAGGTACTACATGAAATGACACGATTCATTTAATAAAATGTTGATCAAAAATACAAGTAGAATAGTTGATTCAAAATTCGCAGTATCCAAGAAAAAGGTGGAAAAATTTGGAAAGCCTTAATAGTTGCGGGAGAAAGATAAAACTTACAATATATTACCGTAAAAATGCACGGACGCATAATATTATTAAAATATAAAGTGGGCGCTATGTGATATATTTTATTCCGTGTTTTAAGGCAATTCCCGAAATTAATCTTAAAACTTTATTCGTTTGACAATTTCGCGATTCTTTTTATTGAATTATAAAATTCCACAAAATTGGATCGTTAAATAATGCATAAAATCAAGCCAGAATAGTATATCAATTACCGAAAATGGATTATGTAACTTGGCGTATTTAAAAAACGTTGCCAATAAAATCAAGTTAAATCATATGATCCGTAATGTGATTTTACGAGCAACGTTCCATTTAATAGATTGCTTGGACCCTTATTAATAAACCCTGATATTAAATAGAACGCCAAGGCTAGCGATTTCTCGTTTAGAGTAACTTTTAATAAATAAATAAAAAAGATATCTCGCGTTCCAGGCAACAACCTATAATAATCCAAATTTCATCAGAAACAATGGCAGTTATCATAATATTAATTTGATTAAAAGCTATAAATTGTGTGAATTGGATGAACCTTACCTTATAAGCGAATTTTACAGAAAAAAAACATACATTATAATATGGGTAAAGTATATTCAAAAATACGAAGAAGAGAGTTAGTAAGTTGTTCAAGCAATGAAATCGATGATGTTTCGTTGTCAACTTCAACCAGATATTTTGGTGACCTAAAACATAAAAATAAAGATGGTTTAGGATCAATAAGTGAACTTGATAGAGTAAATTTACAGCATTTCTTATTAAAAGAATTAAATGGTTTTAATTTTAAATCACCAGTAGATTTAAATAATCCCCAAGTCAGTGTTTTAGATGTTGGGTAAGTTCATAAAATTTTTAGAAAAAAAAACTTTTTACAAACGTTGAAACATTTAAAAAAAATTTTTTCTTGTACAGATGCGGTGCAGGAACTTGGATTCTTGACTTGGCAAGCGAGAATTCAGCAAACTTCTACGGAATTGATATTTTACCACTTTTTCCAACAGAAATCAAACCCTCAAATGTTTCATTCTCTATTGCGAATTTAATTGATGGATTACCTTTTAAAGATAATTCGTTTGACTTTGTTCATATGCGATTTTTTGTATTTTGTTTGTCAGAATCAGACTGGGAAATAGCAATTCAAGAAATAGTTCGCGTTTGTAAACCAAATGGATGGATTGAAATATTTGAAGTCGACATTACGTTCGCAAATGCTCTTAAAGATAAAACAGGACTCAATAATAAAGGTTAGCAACTTTGAAATCATAATTGCAAAAAAAAAAAAAAAAAAAGGATCTTGATTAATTTATTTATTTTAATTTAAAAGCAAAAGAAATTTTATCCGAAAAATATAATATAAATTTATGTCCGAGTCCCCTAATAAGATCTTTATTAGAAACTAATAATTCGCTAAATAAAATTTATTTCGAACCAAATAAATGTAAACTTGGTAGTTGGGGTGGTAAATTGGGAAAATTAAGTTTAGAAAATTATAAATGGGGTATGAAAAATTTTGCTATGTCACTTAATTACATGGGATTGACAGAGCAAGAATTTTTTCAATTGGTTGAAGAAATAACTCAAGAAATCGAAGAAACCAAAGGTGTTTATGACGTATTTAATAGATTTTGGGCAAAGAAATTGTAATAATAATTAATTTAATAATATCGTTGGTAAATAAAAATATATAATAATAACAAGAATTTCAGGAGTCGATCGTTATTAATGTTCATTGTTGTTTGTTTCTGATCGGATGGAGTTGGAAATGAGGTGCATTTCATTCGAATAATGATGATCATTAGTAATTTTTTAATGTTATTTATGTTATTTCCAAATTAATATTCTTATGCCAAGTCAGTTCTAAAAAAATAATGCCTTTTATGCACTCGCTTCAATTTCAATGTTAATTCAAAACAGATTAAGCACTTCCAACTGCATGATCAGTAGTTTCATGTCTTTCCTCCTTCCCATATAAATTGTATAAATTGATAGGATTTGATTACGTGCCGTATTTGTCGTAATTAATGATGTCAGGAGATCAGATGATCTCTGGACCTTTTCATAATCGTGGTGTTAACGTATTTGAGAATTGCATGTCTAAGGAAACCTGGTATGGAAAAAAAAAACATTGCTCCCATTAAGGCTTTAATAATATTTTCGATTAGGTCTGCGGGTTGTTTTAAAAGAATTTGTGAGTTTTGTTAAAATAATTTGCTTTTGCATAACTTTTTTGTTCATCGTCATTTTCAATTATCAAGTCATTAGAATAAGTTTTCATCCATTTGGTCAAATCAATTACGATACGATTATCACGCAGTAGAGGCCTGGACTTTAAGCAAAGTATTAGAAATTTAATTTTCAATAATATTTTTTTTTTTTTCACTTTCACAAATACCAAAAATAGTAATTAATTAATGTAACACAACAATACATATGCTATTAAAATCACTGTCACGTAACTCGATTTTAATAGCAAACCTCTCATATTTTCATTATAAAATACAATCAGCGGTTCAATAACTTATGGAATTATAAAAAATCCGGACTGGTACTTTGAACCCCGGCCCGGGAAATTCTAAACTAATAATTTGCCGGCCGTTGCAGGCCACTAATGCGCGGTAAATCCCAATATCGAAATAATTCAACATTCAAAAATCTAGGTGACATCAAATCATTCTTGCGATTAAGATTCCAAACTTTTAAATCTCTATTCATAGTCAAGCATCTAATCACAATTTTTTGACTCCTTCATTTGGTGGATATGAATTTTTATTCTTGAATGCAGGAACAGAATATATTTTTTTGTATTTCATCTTTCCTTATTTTGACTCTACATATTTTGCTGTTTAGGGAATATCTAGACTGACTTGAAATAAATTTCCGAAAAGAAGATGGAATTAGATTTCGACGTGTAAAATACTGATAAGAATATCGAAGGACGTAAACTAACATGCTAGTTGTCATCGTGATGTCATCTTCTTACACACCCCTTAATAATTTTTTTAGAGCTTCTTTAATTTATATAAAATAAATAATGATCAGAGTGAAAAAGTTTCCCTCAAAAGAATTTAGACTTTAGATTAGGAAATGACTGTTTGACGTGAGAATTTCCATCCTCGAATCCTCGAATGATATTCATGTTGCTTATAGTTTCGGAAGCAAAACTCATTTTAGTAAATGAAACCTTGTATGTTATTTATTGTTTCGATTATTATAGTTTTGACGGTTCGAACCTTAAATATTCATTTGGAAAATAATTTATTTTGAGGAAATAATTAATGATGCAAGTTCAAATCAATCTATTTTCAATTTTACGATATGATTAATATTACCAGTTTTAGATGATTGCTAGGAAAATCTGGATCTGGGAATTTTTGATCAAACATAAAGAATTTTAGTTTTTTGATATTGTTAGATCATTCCCAGTTATTCCGGCGTTTTCGTTTTAGGACGACCAACTGACTTTAAAATCTAGCGATCGACTTTTATGGATTTCAATTCATATTACCAAAAGATTTCTTTTTTTGAATGATTACTTTCCTAATATCTTTGGTCATGTGATCATGCATAAAATCTAACGTTCAAATATTTGAAATGCAATTTTGTATTTCAAACGGAAACCCTAGTTACGGTATAAAGTTTTTTAAAATAATTTCAAACGAATATCTAAATGATTTTGGACATTTCGGATATCCGATATTGAATATTTATTTTTTTTTCGCATTTTCCTTTTTTTGTTTTTTGGTTTTTTCACATACTTTTAAATTTTTCGATTAGATAAACTTAGCTTTATTTTTTTAATTCTTTTTTTTTTTTTATTTATTTCATTTATTTTAAAATAAATAACCGATCGATAAGATCGATCGAAATGATTGATTTCAATATTCGAATATTAATTATGTATTTTCGAATATTTGAATTTTATATATTTTTTTATGCTACAAGGTTAAAAGATAGAATTATCTCATTTACACTTTAAGTATTATTTTTTTATTATTAAGAATGGAGTAGTAATTTTTGATTTCAAAACGTTTCAGGTACCGAACACTTCCGTAAAAAAAAAAAAAAATTATTATTTAATTACAAAACTAAGGACACCTTGCCACCGGCTATTATATTCCTCCTAATGTTTAAATTAAATATGTATATAAAAATGATTTCTAAATTTTCTATATGAGATGGTTTTATTTATCCGAACACGAGATTCTTATCACAATTGTAGAGAGCTGAACATCTAAAAAAAATAATAATAATGCAAAATTAAGTAATTAAATATATTAATTTAAAAAATGTTTAATCATATTCACCAATAGGAATTTCCAATTCATCTTGTTCTTCTGGATGTTGATTTGGATTATTGTATATTTCATCATCTATAAAAAACATGACATAAAATAGAATTAGAACATATATTAAACTATTATAAAATTTAGTTTATACGCACCATCAATAATATTATTTGATTTTTTCAACCTTATATACTCATCTGGAACTACAATAAAAAAAATTATATTTTAATAAAAGATTTAAGGAATTCATTGATATATTAACTTACTACTTAGAAGCCTGCCATTATCTAAGTTATCAAAAATATTAATTAACAATGCAATAAATAAATAATAAATAAACTAGATTTTTTCAATGCCACTCATTGACAAATACCTTTTGAATTGTTACATTTTTTGACATAATGATGATTGCTTGATTTATATAAATCGTGAACTAAAAAGAAAAGAAGGTCAAGAAAGAATGTTATTATATAATAATTATCAATATTTAATAAAACCTAAAACACACTTACTATTACTAGGAATGTTATAGCTAATAAATTTACTATGAAATTCTAATGATAAAGTTATTATAACATGATTAACGATGATTAAGCCTTGCTTTGTATATTAATTTAACTTTATACATACCTTCTTGCTCCTCTATTTTCATTGAAATAAGTAATATTCATATAATAATAATATGATTATTACTCTTGGTCCAATAATAAAAGTCAGTAGTTAAAGATTAAATAAATATACCTTCTGTCGCATTCCTTGGTTCAGAAAAGTTGAAAGATTGAAGTTGTTGGCTAGTATATATTCTGCTGTTTTTATAAGAAATATCTGGTTCTTCTAAATCAATTATTTCCGATTGAGAAAGATTATCTGATATATAAGGCTTTATGATTTCTCGGATTTCTTCATAAAGAGCAAAAATATCGGGTCTTTTTGATGGATCAGCGTCCCAACATTTTTTCATTAAATTTTGATATTCGATAGGAGTTTCTGATACGATCTTTGGTCTCATACCATTGATGATATTCATCGCAAGGTCATAACCATGCTCACGATTAATAAATGGGGATTGCCTAGATGAAATTTCCCACATAAGCATACCGATACTATAAATGTCAGATTTAAAGGTATATCCTTTTCCATAAATAACTTCGGGTGCTATATAAGGAAGATTTCCATATATTTCTTTCTGTGACTTGTTTGCTGGGCCACAAAATCCAAGGTCACTAATATACCATTCATTATTATGTCGTGAATATAATATATTTCCAGAATGCAGGTCTCTATGAATGGCTTCCTCCTCATGAATTCTATAGAGTGCATATATGATATTAAAAGTAATTCTAATCCTTTCGTTCCATGTAATTTGGTTACGTCGATGCAGGTATCTTCTCAAATCCGTGGTCATCCGATCCATTATAAGCATATAAGTTCCATTGGGGTTTTGCGTCAGCCCGTAACTTTGGACAATACTCAGCCATTTATTGCTTATAGATAAATGTGATTTAGCCTATCAAATCAAATTTATGTTTATCGTCTTTTTTTTTGTTTTAAAAAAAATAAATAAATAAAAACAGAATGTTACGTACTTCATCAAACCAACTTTGATTCGCGCTTTCAATATTTTCTAATTTTTTAAGTATCACCTGTCGTGTTCCAGTTCTCTTTAATCGTCGTTCCTTACTATCCCATTCATGATAATATCCATCAACCCAATCCGCAGTATAAATTTCGGAGCAGCCGCCTTTAGTAAAGAATTCAATTTTTTGTAATTTGTCATAAGGGATCCATTCAATTATCGCATCTGGTCTGATCGTTTTCTTTTGATATTCCTGTATAAGCTCATCAATATTGATATGACCTGACGTCCAACTCGAAAATTTTGACCTTAGATAATTTCGAACGCAATGTTCACAATATAAAATTGCTAAACATTTTAATGAACAACTTTTGCAAATCCTTTCCGTTCCCTCGTTAAAGACGATTCTATCTCGATCGTAATTTTTCATCAACATCTTTTTCGCCTCTTCTTTTTCGCCGTCATTTAGGAATTTATCTTTAAGGATAGTATCTATTCTAAATTTGTGTCGTACATGCCTATCTTTGTGAAGATTATAATCCACCAAGATATGCGCTCGATTAATTGCAGCCTTAATTACAGACATAATGATGCAATCTCCTGAATTTATTCAAAATAAAAAAAGGAATGGCTTTTTAAGTCATTTAATGAATTGTATTAAAAAAAAAACTGATTACATATATATATATATATTACTTCCGCTTTTGCGACTCCGAACTTTTTTTTTAATGAATTCTGATTTAGAAATCGCCAATTCAAAAAAAATTGAAACCTGTACCACAAGATGTTAATAATCTCGAAATCTCAGCACAAATAGATACATATTCGGAAAAATGAAAGTAAAGAGGGAAAAAAAAGTCCGATCGACCCTTCTAAAAAAAGGAAACCGGGGCCTCGGCTAATTTCTAGCTCTAACATAATGAGCGTTCTCTTGTTGGACAAGGGTTATTGATTTCACGCGAAAATTAAAAAAAAAAAGATGTCATACGATTAATCTAAAAAAAATAAATATTTGTCGTTTTTTTCCTTTTAACCATGAAAGTTTCTTTATTATACATGTGATTCATTAAAGAAAATTCGTTTGAAACAAAAGTTAATTGGAATGTCTATAAACAAAGCTTGGGTGATACAAAAAACTAATGAATGCTTTTTACATCAAACTTATGGACACTGCATGTGAAAAAATTTTAAAAAGTATAGCGAGATATTGTATTTGAATTTGGAATTTGGCTAATAATGTATATTCGGTATTTTTTTTTATATGTTTAAATAATTAATAATTATTTTAAAATAAACTTAATTATAAGACTTAAATTTAAAATTTGTAATGAAATTTTATTTATTTAATTATAAATAAAAATTCAATATTTTTTTTTATTATATATAATTCTTATTTTAAATTGAATATATACAAATTTTTAACTTTTTAATTTTATTATAAATATAGGGTCTCCGTTTGAAATACAAATTGAATATCGAACATTTTGGATATCCGATATTGAATATATTTTTTTTCGCATTTTCTTTTTTTTGTTTTTTTTGGTCTTTTTACATACTTTTAAACTTTTTCGATTAGATAAGCTTTAGGTTTATTTTTATATATATATATATTTTTATTTATTTCGTTTATTTTAAAATAAATAATCGATCGATAAGATCGATCGAAATGATTGATAAAGAATTTCAATATTCGAATATTAATTATGTATTTTCGAATATTTGAATTTTATTTATTTACAAATAAATATTCGAATATTCTATTTTCAAACGGAAACCCTATAATAATATATAAAAAATTTATTAAAAAATCTAAAACTTTTAATCCTAAATTAATATAAAAAGTAATTAATGTATAATTTTAAAAAATAAAAATAAAAATTATTTTTAAATAAATAAAAAAAAAAATCTATTAATTTAAACAGCACTCTTTTAAACAAGTTTTTTTATTTTAAAAAAATTAAAATTAATATTTTAAAAAAAAGCTTTTTTAAAAACTTAATTTAGAATTTAAAAAAAAAACAATACCATTTTTTTTAAAAATAAAAAGTAAAAATATATTAATAAATTTTTTTAACAAAATAAAAATACTAAGATTATAATTTATAAAAAATATATATACTGTATATAAGAAAAATAATATTAAAACAATATTTAAAAAATCTACTAAAATAAATTTTATAATATAATTCAATATCAAAAGTAATTAATAAAAATGTATACTTTTAAAAATTTAAGATTTCAATGCTAAAAAAAAACTGATTGACAAAAGTAAAAAAAAGTTATCTAATTAGTAATCATATCATTATTACCAAATAAAATTAAAAATATTATTATTTAAAGTAATTATTTTTCAATTTTGTTTAAAAATTAAAATTAGTAAAGAGAAATATTTATATTAATTAAATAAACTTTAAGTTTTAAATATAAAATATCATTTCAAAATTATTGGTATTTTAGCTAAACTTAAAAAAAATCATTTATTTTTCATAATGAACTTTAAATTATAAAATAAAATTGATTAATTTAATTATTTTTGCATCTTAAATTTAAATATCATAATAATGTTTTATTTATTTATCTTTTATATATTCTACTGTAAATACTTTATAAAATAAATCATTATATATTTTAAATTAATTGAATTTTTACATTTTTTCAAATTTTATATTAGTAAATATTTTTATTGATTTTTTAATTATTCAGCTATTAATTACAATCACATGTATTATCATAAAAAAATATTGCTAATTTTATTTTAACTTTATTAAAAAAATTAAAAAATAAATAATATTTCTTAAGTATAATTTAAAAATTTAAATATTTTATTTGGATAAGATAGTATAATAAATTATTTTAAAGATAAATATATTACATTTTTATAAATAATATATAAAATATAATTAAATTATTAATAATATATTAAAATTTAATAATTAAGTGAATATTATTTTAATAGCATGTGACTTTAAAATTAATTATATTATAAAGTCACATGCAACTTAGATTAAATTATGAAGGTAACTTCATAGTCTGCTGGTATCTTCATAATATAATGGTAACTTCATAGTCTGCTGATATCTTCATAATATAATGGTAATTTCATACTTTACCAGTACCTTTATAATATAACAGTGATATCATAATCTAATTACATGATTTAGTGGTAACTTCATAACAAACTATTTATATTTTGATAGTGACTTCATAACCTATATACAGGTATTTCCTTTGCATTTATAGCATTGTTTTAACTGTTTCCTGTATAATATGGTGGTAACTTCATAGTTTAATAGTGGATGGTAGTGCTTTAATTTAATAGTGATGTTATAATCTAATAGTAACTGCTTTTTTTTGTTTTTAATCTATTTACATGATAAATCTATATTGTTAGTATTAGCTTTCTATAGCTGTTTAAATATCTGATTGTATGTTGAGGATGCTGACCTTCTGTGCCTGATTGAGTGCTAGATTCTATGTTGAAGTGCTTTTCCTTTACGTCTATTTGGTACCTTTCTAAATGCTGAAATCATGTAATTTAGAATTTTCAAAAAGTTTGACTTTTATATTCTATGAAATATCTATATTGACCGTTTGCAGATTTTTTCGTATAAAATATTGTTGAAAATTGGCTGATCTTTTAGACATATGATTTGAGGATCCAGCTTGACACCATGATAGTATCTCTATAGTGTTCTGGAACTATTATAGAACTGGAAAGAAACCAGAGTATTTCTATTAGTTTGTTAGTTTTAGGCTAACTTGAATGCCTACCCAAAGATCTGGCCAGTCTATTTGATTGCCAGAAGTATACCATTTCGCAATCCAACTATTACCTATTAGTTGCCAATATGTGTATACTGATTTTGCATTCTGAAGTTAGAGGTGCAATATGTATTATCTTAGCCTAAACCTTTTTAATTACCAGAAGTGCACTATTTTGCAATTCAACTATTGCTTATTTGTTGCTGGTATAATAACAAGATATTGTAAGCACTTCTGAAGCCCAATCATGTTTTAATCTAGGTTGAGACAATGAGTATGCTAATTTTTGAGTGTTTCTAGTATCCTTAGTAAAAGTAAAGTTTTAGGAAAAAAAATCGAAACTTATCATATAGTACATATATATAGTATATGTATAAGGATTCTTCCTATTCATCTGAGTCTTCTGAAGATTCTGACTCAGTTGAAATAATTGAGGTAGGAGAGGATGTACCTTATAAGCAACGAAAGAGAGCATGACCAAGAAAGGTTAAAATAAAGAAAGCAGATATTTTTTGAGAGGATCCCAGAAATTTTTGATCAAAGATATTAAGTTTAATACATAAATAATTAAAATAAAAAGTGATCAAAAGCATTTGATATCTTTATCCAATATCCTGCCCAAGTCTACTTCGTCTGAAACTAGTTCATCTGAATCAAGCTCATCCAAGAATAGTTCATCATCTGAATCAAGCTTATCTAAGAGTAGTTCTTCTGAGACTAGCTTATCTAAATCCAATTCATCTAATTCTAATATTGATGAAATAGTAAATATGATTAAGCAACAAAGGATTTGGAAGCGTATAGCCTAAAGGAAAGATCAGAAAAAAATGCATATAATAAAAATAAGGCTAATAAGCTATCTGATAAATGCTAGTTTAGAGTGATGATAGAGGTTTATTTTTTATTTTGAATATTATATACCATAATAAAAAATGATGATTGTGAATTGTGTAGTCAAAGAAAATATCCCTATTGAGGCATCAATTGATACGTCTACTGATGTAAATTGTATTAGCCAAAAATATATTAGTGAATTAGAAATTACATATTCCAATAAAAGTAATAGCATTGTAACTCTGGATATATCCTATTTCACATTAGGAAAAGTCAATCTACATATTAGTTTTGAAGATAGTAAGAAGCATAAAAGTACACTCATTGAATTTATAGTTCCTGGACTAGATTAGTCTGATTATTTTCCTGATTTAGTATTGGGAATACCGTGATTGCAAAAAAATAGTGCAAATTTTAATATAAATAATTCATTACTAACCATAGATGATAATTTTACAATTCCATTCAAAAAAGTAGACTATATTTTGATATTATCTGATAGTAAAATCTAAACTATAACTGATTTTTCCAGTCTAACCTATAGTCTGAAATGATCGTGTATTACTAGCCTATTTTTTTGATTAAAATATCTTTTAACCATATAAAGAATGCATATAGTTAATTTGTTAGAACAACTTTTGCCAGAGTTAATACCATTTATTGTAAAGGACCTTTCAAATCAGAATCTAAAAAAAATTCGCAATATAATTGATACATGGCAAAGTGAGGCAAATCTTGAATGGTCCAAAAGAAAGACTCTTTTCGATTTTCATACTATGTCATTGGTTCAAGACAAAAATACAGTCAAGGATTTTTATTTAAAACTGGAAGAGTATAACAAGAGTTTCAGCTATAGTGAAAAATTTCTTAAATGCGTATTATTAAAAGATTATCAAATGAGAATAGAATAAAAGTTCTTATGGATGATTTCAGTATAACCTACATTTTTTACTGATTTGAATACTAATATATTGAGTATAAAAATATTATAGTAAGTTGATATGCAATCTGAAATAGATTTATTGAGGCAATGTATTGTCGAGCTTGATCTCAGAAATGCGGAACCTATAAAGCAGATTATGGAAGAGAATAACAGACATGATGCTAGGCTTGAAGAGTTTGAGAATAGAATTCTAAAACTAGAGCAGAATCAGGCAGAAAGAGAATCTAAGAAAAATCGCAAATTCCAGATTAGATGCATCTAGATAGCTAAGAAAGTTCTTAACGAAGAACCTGTAGTTGAATATTGACCATCTTTCTTGAATGGATTAGAACTTGATGCCTTTTTCCAAAAATATCGAATTGCATTGGAGGTGTAAGGGGCTCAGCATCGGCTTTATAGCACTAGCTGGTATAAGGATGTTAAAAAACTTGAAGATATTGTTAATCGTGATCGGCAAAAACGATGCATATGTCAAGATAATGGAATTTCCCTTCTTGAAGTATGGTACGACGAAAAACCCGAAATCGTTATTCCAGAAAGGATACGAAAAATTAAGGAGTTTGTTTGTCTAGCATCTAAAAATTTCAATCTCCTATAATCAATAACGTTATAATACATGTAATTCATTATTCTCAAAGAGAGATTCACATATTCTATTTGCTAGTAAATTTCAAATTGACTCTAATCAATCCAACCGGTGTTGGAAATCCGCCTTGGACATGCGCTTTCTGAAGAGTTAAGATGGAGACGTTTTCAAATATAGGAATTTTTCCTACGACGATCGGATAAATAAACGTGAGACCGACCTGAAATGATTCTTGGATACTGGTGTGTAATAATTAGTGTTTAGGATTCACAAAGAACCCGTGACTGATAATCTTGATACTAAACCACCCGTAGTCTTTCAATTGTGAAACTAATTGAGTTAGAAATGCGATTTTTGTTATTATAATCGCATGATAATTATTCATCGCCACGCTTCATTCTATTTATTTATTATTTTGTGTAATAAATATATCGTATGCTTTTGTGCACTTTATAATACCTTTTTAAGTTATTTTTTTTGGTGAGAAAAAATGGATACTTTTTATGCGGGCTTATAATAGTTAATTAATAGATAACATCGAAAAAGGGTTAGAAAAACTAATGATTATTATATAAATTATATTAGGTATTAAACTAACCAAAAGTTGAAAAATTAAGGTCACCTGATAAGCGATGTAGCACAAAAGCTTTTCAGCATTCTTTTCTCCATATATAGTATATTTTATTCAACGAAAAGAAAAAAAAAAGTTTGATTCGCAATTTTACGACCGCGCAGTAAATATAAGTAAGATAGATTACCAATTTCTATTCTCTAACCTATTCTAGTTGTTTTTCCATTGTTTTGAAACACCCTAACCTAAATTGGTATTATCTGCAGTAAAAAATGTCCAACGAAGAAAAGAAAGAGTTTGAATTTATAGAACGGCCAGGCTCCCCAAATAAACGTCCTCAAGGTTCTCGTCCAAGTTCTCGTTCAATAAAGATGTGGGTCCTGTTTGAGGGCGACGAAGATGCCGAGAAGTTTGTTTTTAAAGATGATGATTTTGCAAATATGGATGAGTTTTCAAAAGCGGATTTGGATGACTTTAAGAAAGTTCTTCGCGAGCATTATCCTTTTCTCAAGAGTATTGAAAATAAACTGATTGCGCTTTTTGATGAAAGTCTCGAACGTCTTGATCCAAGAACCAACCTTAATTCCCTAGATGTTGGCAAAGATTCAGACACAACAATAATTGTTCGCTACCCGTTGTCCCGTTTGAGCAGTAAGTAAATTCGTTTTTCATACTTTTTTTTCCTATAATGTCTAGTACTCATTCGTTCATTGGTCTTCTCTTCAGTCAAAGTGAATCTTAGGTTTGTGAATAACAAAAAGGAAGTGTGTAAGATCAAGCATACAACTGGTTCATTCAATATGTTGCAAGTTGAGGCTAAATCAAAGTTTGAGAGTTTAGCTGATTGTAAACTGAACGACATTTATTTTGAACATCAAGAGGAAGAAATAGAAAATGCGTATCATTTTGAACTTCTAGTTGAGAAATTTAAAGAAGAGGGCAAAAATGAACTTAGTTTAGATCTAAAGGTTCTAATCAGGAACCGAAAATCTTTTGGCGATTGGAAGCTCGAGGAAGTTTTGAAAAATATTTACAATTATAAAAGCAGTATGCTTGAATTGGTGTCAGATGATTTCAATTTGGAGGATCTCCCCCAATTATCTCCAACACTTAGCGATGAAAAACTGAACACGATTGTCGAGCAACTTAAAGTTAAGGAATCTGTGTTTGATAACACTAATACTAATGAAGCTACAGCCCGAGAGTTTATTTCGGTCATTTTGGTCAATGCAATCTATTTTTTCAAAAAAAATATTGATAATACAGCAACGTTAATGGTGGAAAGACAACTTTTAGGAAGTCACGGTTACGGACCTTTGGACTTTGTAGTAATGATACAAAAATTTTTTCTCTTAATAACGGAGGCCAAACCGAACGAACCCGGGAAGGGCATCGCCCAAAATCTGGCACAAATAGATAGTGCGTACGAGGTAATGTTTTTATTTTAACCTTCCTAAGTTAAAACAATACTAAGAAATTCCCTATATTCAGATGTTAGAAAAACGAAAATTTGGCCAAGCAGATATTGAATACGAATCCATGGAAACAATGCCAATAATTGGCATCGTAACAACTGGAAGACAGTGGATTTTCATCCGCCATACTTGTCACGCTGGATCCAGACGACTTGAGGTGTCTAAAACAATTGAATGTAAACTTACAGGAAATAATGTGAAAGATGATATAAATGTAGTAGTTTCTTATGTTATTCGACTGTTAAAAGCACTAGTTGGAGAATTAGAGCAACGAAAATCAAAACGTTCACGTATGGGTTAGAAAATAAATAAAATATTAACAAAGTTCGCCACATCGGGCTTATGTTTTAGCTTATAAATAAACAAAGTTATACGCAATGTATTTTCTGCTTTCAATAATAAATATGTAAAAAATGACATTTACTAACCCACAGATTGATTTGTTCTTGTAAATTAATCATCATTTGGGGGTGTTGTGGGAATAATCGAAATAATGATACCGAAAATTCTGAAACAGCAAAAATTTCGTAAATGCACCATCTATATCTCAAGTCACTCAGATGCTGACTATGAGGATGACCCTTGAGAGAAGGAGATCGAAGAGGCTCTTGAGGAGAAATTCCGGGCTTTTGAGGGAGGAAACATTACCAAGTTCTCATAATTCTGATGATGATGCCTCCGATTCCGATGATAGACTCGAATCACCCGATCCATATTCTCGGGATCTCAGCATCAGCAATGGTCCGTAGTAATCGGTAAGTAATACATAGACCTATCACCTGAAATGCGCAGTGCGATCTTGCCGATAGAATAGGTGCTGTGCGACGTGAAGCGTATATATATATATTTTTTTTAACGAACGTTAAATCTTTTTTTTTCCCGAAACAAATATGCAAATAGGACCAGCATACCCACAACATCTTGCAGTATGAAGAAGTGCCAGAATTTCCTAAGATAAGTTCGAGTGGTGTTGGTTTGAAATAAGACCGGCACCATTAGCGGTTGTTTCGCAAATAAAAAATTTTTAACACTTCATACGATCACATAACTTATCTCTATATGCTATTATTTTTATGCTCGCATACTAATGCAGGGTAATTTCAGAATTGGGATCAGCAAATTAATAGATAGGATTACCATATTTGTTCCAGGAAGAGAAGTTATAGTGTCAACATAAATAATGCGCAGTAATATTATGGTAATCGTTACATGTATCACGGGAACAAGCAACTGCGCAAAATAATTTATTCTCAAACTTTCTCGCACATTCTCAAAAATATGTATAGCCCCTTGATGATCTTTACATAT